AATTTGGAAAAGTGGTTGGAGCCAAGGACTCCTCATGTGTAGCGTTAATAAAGGTGTCTGATTTTTACACATCTAAGAGTCATTAAAGGGCTAGCACAGCAGAGCATAAGGGTAATATTTACATTTTGAAAGTGAATTCTGAGAGAAATAGAGTTTTAAGAATTCACCTAGGGAATGCTTATAAAACAGATTCCTGGGTCCCACACAAAACCAATTCAGCAAGAATCTCTGAGGAATGTGGCCCAGGAATGGGTATTCTATAAATGCTTCTTTTTTTCCCCCAGCTTTATTGAGATATAACTGATGTATAGCTTTGTGTAAATTTAAGATGTAGAACATGATGGTTTGATATACTTATATATTGTGAAATGATCACTGCAATAGAGTTAACACCTCCACGACCACACTCAATTACCCTTTTTTTTATGTGTGGTGAGAACACTTAAGATCTACTCTCTTAGCAACTTTCCAGTATATAATAGAGTTGTGTTAACTATAGTCCCCGTGCTGTACATTAGGTCCCCAGGACTTATTCATCTTTTAACTGGAAGTTTGTACCCTTTGACCAACATCTCCCTATTTTCCTCATTCCCAGCTCCTGGCAACCACCATCCTTCTCTCTGTTTCTGTGAGTTCGGCTTTTTTTAGATGCCACATATAAGTGAAGTCATGCAGTATTTTTCTTTCTCTGTCTGACTTAGTTCACTTAACATAATGCTCTCATAGCATTTGCCCATGTTGTCACAAAAGGCAGAATTTACTTCTTTTTTTATGGCTGAATAATATTCATTGTGTGTGTATATATATATATATATATATATACACCACATTTTCTTTACCCATTCATTCATTGATGGAGACTTAGTTTGATTCCTTGTCTTGGCTATTATGAATAATGCTCTAGTGAACATAGGTGTACAGATAGCTCTTCATAGTAGTGATTTGATTTCCTTCGGATATATAACCATCAAGTGATTTCTTATGCTGCCAGAAGGACAACTGTCTAAGACCTGTGTTTATATTTATATTATTTTAAGGCAGAGTGGGAGTGATGAGAACTGAGATGCTGAGAGCCCCCGTTAGGGAAATGTCAGGAGTCCAGGTGAGGAGCAATGAGGGCCTGAACTGGAGCAGTGGCAGTGCTGATGGAGGGGAGGGAACAGAGTCAAGAGCCACTTCTGAAATACAAGTGTTGGTAGGATGTTGGAGACCCTTTGGATATATGAGTGAGGAAGGAGTTGGAAGACGACTTGAAGGTACCCCTCTGGGTGGCAGTGTTGATGTTAATGCTGTAAACCAGAGAGGCGAATGCAAGAGTAGGAGGTGGAGAACTAGGTGCCTGCATATCGGGTAGGTTGATTAGAGGGGGTTGCCAGAGGCAATAATGTATTTAGTTCAGGGTATGCGATCCAGTTTCTTTATTTTACCAATGAGGAAACTGAAGCTTAGAATGGTAAGGCTCTCTGAGGTCACAGAGCTAGTTGGTTAATAGAAAACCCTACATGCTTCCTCTTGTTTTTGTGCCTGTCTACAAGATTCATTGTTTGGTTATGCCCACTGGGAGCATTTATATAGTACTAATTACCAAGTGAAAATATCATTAAATTCACATTATGGCTGTGATGCTTGTGTATATTTTTAGCTAAGTCTGTGCCACTCAATGGACCATTTCAGGCAGTTGGGACAGAGGGCCAAGTGTTGATTTAATGGTAATATCATAGAGTGAGAAGGCATGAAAGCAGGAAGAGGTCTTAGAGATCACTCAGAACGACTTCATTTTACAGATAAGAAAACTGAATCTCAGAGAGAGAAATACGTTTGTCTAAGGCTGCACTGGTAACCAGTGATTATAATTAAAACCAATGTCTTCTGACCCTTCAATTTAATGCCTTCTTCAGTGAGGTCATCCAGATTTTTCCTGCAGCCATTGTATTAACTTTTGTGATTCAGTTGATTGCTTTATCGTTTAACACCCCTCTATGCTGGTAGCTGAAGCATGAGCCACGTCTACAGGGTTATGGAGCGTGTTTTGAGAATAAAAGAAGCAGGGACCTACATGGTGATTTGGATCATTTTCAGTCATGCATCCATTATGACACTTCTTAGTTTAGAAGTTCCTCAAGGGCAAAAAACTATGTATTTACAGCATAAAGCACAGAGCCTGGATCATATTAGCTATTCAATAAATGTGTGTTGAAAGAGCAATCTAACCTCTAGGGTGATTTTTGAACTATGGTCTTTTATTTTTTTTAAAGTAAATTGCCTATGAGAAATTCATCAGGTCCCTGCTTTGCCCACATGTAGGCACTCACTAAAATCACATGGTTCTCATTCTTTTAATAAGAACCAGCGGAGAGGACTGTCAGCTGACAAAGAAAGGATAAAATGTGAGTGCTAGAAATGCCTTGATCTGAATGTGACCTCTTGCTGGAACGCCAAAAATACAAACTTTCCAAGTCTGCTGGCCCAGTGACCTCAATATACAAAGGTCTTTTCTTTCTAGAAACACACTTTTTTCTCCTTGTTTCTGATCTCACAGAGATACCCTCACAAACTCAAACACACACATATTTTCCTTTTTAAATTCCCAAGAAGGTGTTAAGGCTATATATTGCTTTTCTGCACAGTCTTAAAAATGACCCCTTGCCATGTATTTGAAATGTAAAATCTTTCTTCTTGAGGGCTGCCTTACTCTACTATGAAAACTTCTGGACAAGCAGATTATTGAATAACTCATGACTTTGCCCTTCATCTGATTAGTTCCCTGAAAGCCATCATAAGACATCCTTACAAAGCCTGGGGGCCTTCAGAGTCCTGAATGATCACAGAGGGCTTTTTTCCCTATCCTCTTGAAATGTCATGGACACCCTGAGCCTCAAGGGAGGTCACTGTTTGTATCAAGAACTGAAAAAAAAAGGAAATATTTAAAATTCATTTGGGAGAAGTGAAAGTTTATCTGTGGGTTGTGTGTCATATGCAGAGTATTAGATCCCAGTTCTTTTATTGACTGGATGACTGTGGGAAGTTTAAAGAAAAATGCCTCTACGGTATAACCCATGTAACAGATGGTTTAGGATCATCATGTGCTGACCCTCACAAAATGCTCTTTCCGGTGATACGTGTTTGAGCACACAGGCTCACACACAGGACGGGAACCCTTGATCTTCATCCGTTTCCACCAAGTGCTTATGGATCATTTCCTCTTACAATCCGCAATGCTAATACCAATGTGAACATAACAACCTGCAAAAGAGTTTGGTAACTTAAATGAAAGCTCACCATCACAAAACCTTGAGACCAAAGTTAAGTGTAAAGTGTTCTTAGGGTTATGCTGACCTATATATCTTTAGATACACGCCAGTTTCAGCATTTTATTCTTTTCAAGATAAGTTGCCTTATTAAATACACACTTCACTTTGTTTTAATCTGTATAACTTAAGAAGACTATGAACATAAATAAATTCTCAAGTCAGAATAAAAAGCCTTTGTCTGGGAACACACTTCTGGAGTTTTTGGTTCAGAAAATATAAGCCCAGTCTTCAGAGGCTACTGTCTTTAGCAACTACTAGCGGACAATTACAACCAATAGGATTTTGTTCATTTTTGTTAATCAGCTGAAATACCTGTAATTTTTGGTCATAAACTCTGGTCTGGAACTTTGATTTCACTACCTATTATTGTCTTTCATAATTTTTAACATGCTGGAAAGAGGGAGGGAAAACTCAAGTATCAACTAGTTCTGAGGTATTGTGCTGGCTGCTTTACATATGTGAATTCATTCCATCCACATGACAACCCTGTGTGGTACATATTATTATTGCCATTTTGCAGATGAGAAAGGCTGAACTTAGAGTGTTTAAGACTCTTGCCAATATTCACTTAGAAAATTAAGAATCAGAGCAAAACTTATTTTAGCTGACCAGTCTAAATAAGACCAATCCTTTTGTTGACTGATTGATTAATTGACTTCTTTATCAGAGGACTTTCCTCATCCAAAAGATTGTAGACTATTTAAGGATAGAGGCCATCTAGTTTACTGTTGTATTCCTAGCATGTAGCCCAGAGGCTGGCATCGACACATAAATATCTGTTATCTCTTAGTCGAGTGGACACTCCTGGTACATAAACCTGGAGGAGAGAGAGCACAAGACTGTGGTTTAGTAGTTGAGAGTATTCAGTGTTGGTAAATGACTATGGGCTCTGGATTCAAAAAGCTCAGATTTGAATTCCAACTTTCCAAGCTTACTGTCTGTATAATTTGAACAAGTTACTTAGCCTTTCTAAGCCTCAGTTGTCTCACTTTAAAATGAGGATGGTACTTGTTCTTTCATGATCACTTATGTGATTTGCATTTCTGATGGTTAGTAACCAGACAGTAAATGTTAGCTAATTCTGTTACCCTTAATTGGAGTCAACTATGGATGCCTTTTTAGCATACTACATAATTTAATTATTATCTTTATCTTTATAATCTATCATCTCACTAAAATGTAAGCTCCAAAATGGGAGGAATTTTCGTGTTTTAATCATTGTATCTCAAGTATTCGGAACAGTGTTGTCTAATAGAACATTCTTTGATAATGAAAATATTCCATATTAGGGTTGTCTCATACTGTAGCCACTAGCTACATGTGTTTATTGAACACTTGAAATGTAGCTAGCTGGTGTGACAGAGGAACTGAATTTTAAATTTTATTTAGTTTTAATTAATTTAAACTTAAGTAGCCATATGCAGCTAGTGGGATACTGTATTAACATAGTTCTAGAACATTACATGGTACACAGAAGTTTCAATAAATACCTGTTAAATGAATGAATCTCCTTTGGACTCAAAGATTAAGACCGAAGCTGCACGATTGTGTATTTAGCTCATTCTTTAAAGGTAAGCAATGAAGCACTTTACTGAGTAATCTGCTTGTCCTGGAGGCCTCATGAGCTTCCAATAGATGATTCAGTTTAATTGTAATAAGTTTTTGATTTCTATTTCTTTTTGGTGATAGGTCAAGAAAGATTTGGAAACATGACAAGGGTCTATTACCGAGAAGCTATGGGTGCATTTATTGTCTTCGATGTCACCAGGCCAGCTACATTTGAAGCAGTGACAAAGTGGAAAAATGATTTGGACTCAAAGTTAAGTCTCCCTAATGGCAAGCCAATTTCAGTGGTTTTGTTGGCCAACAAATGTGACCAGGGGAAGGATGTGCTCATGAACAATGGCCTCAAGATGGACCAGTTCTGCAAGGAGCATGGTTTCGTAGGATGGTTTGAAACATCAGCAAAGGTAATGTGACCTTAAAGGATAAACCTATTGCAGGCAAGGTTCACAAAGAAAATGGCCTATAATCATGATGATCATCATAATAATATGTTTGTCTATTGACTTATAGTCCCCAAACTGTTTTAAGCTCTTTCTCATCTCAAGGGGATGAGTGAGCAGGGCAGGAATTATTATCCACAGTTTAAGATGATTGTGGCTAAGGGAGCAAAGCAACTTGCGCATAGTGATGTTGATAAAAGTTAATAACTATGTTCATTTATTGAGTGCTTATTATGTGTCAGGTGTGTTTTACTACATTTTCTCATTTAGTCCTTGCAACAACCCTATTAGGTAAGTATGATTTTAGAATAAATGAAAGAAATGGGCCTAACATTCAGTGCGTTATTCATGTATTAATTAATTTATTCCATCAACATTTAATATGTTCTTCTGTGTATCAGGAATTGTGCTTTTCCCTAGAAATGAAAAGATGGCAAGAACACAGAACTAGCACATTGGGAATACGGCAATAGTGGGGTGAGAGAGTAGGTGGCAAGTGTGAATGTGAAGAATATAGTGTAGCTCACTCTCCTGGGTGGCAGAGGAGTTAGCAGGATGTGGGGGCAGAGTCAGGGCCGGAAGATAAAGAATCTGATGTGGCATGATGAAGATCTTATACTTCTCATTATGCTTCACACTGCTATCTTTGTCAGGTGCACAGTTTTTGCTCTACTCCCTTTGTTTTTGTTTATATTTTGGTATCTAAGTGTCAGAAAGAAAAAAAAAATTTCATAGTAAGTTTTGAAAATTAAGAGAACAGCATAAATAAAAATAAATGTTTTGCTGTATCTTTCTATTTTCTGTGTGCATATATATTTTTACATTATTAGTATTGAATTCTATATAGTTTTATATCATGATTTTTTCATTTTATTTACTTGTCGGACACACATATTAAATATTTGTGGAGCACAGGCACTGTGCTAGTTGAGATTCAGCTGTGAATAAGATAGGCATTGTCTCTGTACGTGCAGAATTCACACTTAGGCCTTATTGTGAACATTTGCACACATCATTAGAGAATGGCTTGAAAATATAATTTGAATGGACATCATTTAAATAGGCTGGGAGGAGCCTCTGACCAGTTTTGCATTGGAAAGTAGAAGGGTCAGATTTGCCCTGGGGACTAGGGAAAGATAGACTGGAGGCAGGTAAACCTGAAGACAGAGTGGCGTGGTAGTTATCTCATTCCTATAGGAAAATGACAAGGCCTGGAGCTAAGGTAAGGGCTTTAGAGGTTGGAAAGGAAAATTGATTTGAGAATATCACTAAAGTGTGAGCACCAACAGGATTAAGTAACTGCTTGGACTGGGAGAGGATGGAGAGGGAAAAGAGGGTGGTGTTGTCACTTTTTCTGTCATAGTTGTGATGTTCCGTTATTTTAGCCGTTTCATGGAGAGTCTCAACACCAACCTTCTCTTCATACTGTCTCATAGTTGGCTTTATGTTTAGAAGTTGCTACTTCTCAGTACCTTGTCTTCCTTCTTGGGGCCCCAGTGTACTAGAATGCTTTTCTTCTTTCTTTTTAAAATCCTTTGTTTCACCTGTTTCTTAGGATTCTTCATTTGCTTCAGGGCACGGTATCTATCATTTTCTACTTCCTAGCTGTCATGGAACCTTTTTGGTTTGTTTGTTTGAAGAATTTATTGTTGTAAAGAGAGACAGGTAGAGCAAAGCTCACAGGCATGATTAAATTATAGAGATTTAAGAAATTCTACGTGTTTTGTAGTCTGATTCTTTGATGTTAGTCTGGCTTTTTAAAAAATTTCAAAATGTGAGTGAATTCATGTATTCTTCTATTCCTTAGCCCCACACTCAATTTCCCTCCACAACTCTTGCATATTCCTTCAAATTCCTTTCTTTCAAAAGAGTCACTCTCTAGCCCAGAAGCTTCCAGGCACAGGAGTAAAAGAGTAGGGTTTTGGAAAACTTTTCTCAATTACTACTTTGCGTCTGAAGAACAAACTAGATTGAATGACTCCTATCTATATAGGGAGGAGTCTTCCATCATTTATTCATTCATTCATTCAAGAAATGTTATGTACCAGGCACTGGAAATACAGACATTTACAAAACAGATAGAATCCTGACCTCACGGATAATAATAACAACAAAACATAAGTAAAATCTATAGGGTGTTGAATGGTGAAAAAGTACTAGCAGGAAGAAAAAGAGAAAGAAAGGAAGAGGGCTATGAGTCTGTGGGGAGGGTTGAAATTGATTGTGGGACAAAGAACCTTCTGGACATTTTCTTTCATCTCACTCTGCCATTCCTAGCTCAACCATTGCAGTGTCACACTCTGCTTAAGGGCATGACATTCATTAACTTAAGGCCTGGCTGACCCACCAGACTCAGATACTGGATTTCTAATCCTCTAAATCCCTGCAAGTGTAAACTTTGAAGAGAAGCTTTGTACAGAGAGAGAGGGAAGGGAATTACACAAGCTAAAGGGCACTGAACTGCTAATATAACCAAGAGGGTACAAGGCCTCATTCTAAAAGGCAGAACCTCCATTGAATGTCTCTCTTCCCTCCAAACATACTGCTGTTGAAATGGCCCTTTTGAATGTCTTAATAATGAAAATGGCTTCCCGGTGCCAGCTTAGTTTTCAGAGCGAACACCTAGAAGCTCAGGGACAATACTGCAGCATTGACAAGCCAGAGTGTCAAACTGCTCAAAAAGTCTTTTCTAAAGATCTCTGATAAAGCTCTGCTTACTTTCTGAGGATAAGCTTACAGCAAAACCGAGGCCCACATCAAACCGTCTGCCTGAAGCTAAGATGGCACACAACTCGGAGACAGCTACTGATTCGTTCTTTGATTACATGTGGGATCATGGAACATTCCCATAGAGATGTTTCTCTTAGGGAGTGAATCTACTTATAGTTAGAGTCCTCTTGAGTGGCGTCATCAGTGGTCTCCTGATAAACATCTGATTTCCTTTTTTTACATCTGGAAACTTCTAACGAGCCAAAGGCCATGACCTCTGTCTTTGTCCTCATGGCCACATCCTGCAGAAATTCTGAGGGTGTTACCATCAGCTTGGCCGTCTCTGAAGTGGAAACTAGCAGGATGATAGAGGAGTTTGTCATGGAGACCAGACTCCATCTTGCTGCTGACCCTGATGCTGAGGGAAATTTACCCTCTGGTTCTTCAGTCTTCCAGAGTAACTTGCTGTGAGAGTTTTCATGCCTTGTGCTGTTGCTGGCACAATCATGGTAGCCTCTGGCAGTGACTAAAGAGACAAAATATAAAAACAAAGTGTATACAGGTATCTCTGATTTTTCACATCATCTCTTCAAATATTAAAACCAAAGGAAAGAAAAGAAAAACAGTCTCTCTTAGGTCAAGTTTTCTTTGGTTTTCAACCTCTGCATTCTTTCCCTTTCTCACCATGTTTACTTGAATTCTACCTGTGGATTCACCAGGGCCAGGTAATGTATAATTGGGGTGATCACATGGCCCAGTTCCGGGGACATTCCTGATTTATGCCTACTGTTCTAGCATAATTATTCATAACACCCCCACTCCTGGTTTGTAATTTAAATTTACGTGGTCACCCTTTTGATCAGGAGCTCTAATACATCTCACTGTCCACATCATACCTTAGCTCCAGTAATGGCTATTTCACGTGTTCTTGTACCCAAATCCAGTCTTTCTAATATGCTTTGGTAGACTTGTGTCTTTGAAATGAGGGCCCTGGCCCGTCCTTGTTAGTGCATCCCAAAAGTTGGGAATCCTGTCTTCTGAGCCCAGCTTAGTGGCTGACAGGGCCCTGTTCCTGCTGACCCTCTTACCGGGTGCATTCTTGGTGCCCATTACCTGAATCTCCACCAGTTGCTCCTTTTGGATTCACTCTCTGACCACATCCACCCAACGTCTGGGTTTGTTGTGAGCAACAAGTGACATAACGTATGTGAGGTCTCCAGATCTGTTATGTCTGATCACACACTCACACACACACCCCCTCCCCCACACCATCCTTATTATCTATTCTCACAGACCATCCGCTGGTCTGGGTTTCACCATCTGTACCTGGCTCTGATGCCCACAGCACCTGCACTTGGTGGGAGGGTCTGTTTCTGTATCTCAGCACTTTCCAAGCTGCTCCATCCTGCTCTTGTAATGCAATGGTTCATGTGTGGCTGTGTTCAGAAACAGGACACCAGGAAAACGCCCATGTAGATGGGAAAAAATGGAACGAGGAATATCTGTCCAATGGTGGTGGTGACAGGAACGAAAGTCCCAGAAAGAACTCCAGTGCCCCTTGCTCCTGCTCCCTCCACCTCATGTCCTACTCCTGGCAGATTTCCTTGACTGTTTCTATCCTATTTATAGTGACTTTTTAGGCCCACCCTCTCTCTCAGAATGTTCTAAGATCAATGGGTACCCTGGGAAGAAGCTTCCGTACATTATACTCTACTCAATTTTAGTCTCTTCCCTGAAGCTAAAGAGAAAAATGTTGATACGGGTCCTGCTGATAGTGTTCTCTCGAAGAAGTGATTCGTTTTCTAGGAGGAGGAGTAGCTGTTTCGCAGTGTAGTGTAACATCTTTCATGTGTTTTGGCTTTCCAGCAACTGTTAAACCCATTTGCTATCTTTGGGGAACTTCTAGCCATGGAAGGCTCACCTCCCCAGGAAGAACCCATACAGCTTTCTTCTTTTGCTTTCTTTGCAAGTATAGCACAGGCACATGACCTAGATTCCACCAATCATATTGACTCAGAAGCAAGAATTCTAGGAAGAAGGTGCAATGCAGAATCCAGTTTTTCTGGGGAGGGTGGTAGCAGAACAAGCTTTTATCCTTGGGAGACAGCAAGGTTTGCAAGGTCTTGTTCTTGATACAGAAACAGAGTCCCTGCTGGCCCCAGGGACAGTTGCATTCAATTTGAATTCCTCGGAGCTTATAGATTACAGGACTTAATGCTCAGGGGTGGCTGACTGCAGTGTCCTCATCAGGCTTC